TAGTTGGTAGTTACGTAAGTTAAAACTTTAACGTAAGTTTTAGTTTTTGTTCTTGTCTTGTCTTCTTTTTTTCGTTTTTTTTTTTTTTTTTTAGTGATTTAGTTCCCTGAATTAAGAAAAAACAGTATTTGTGTTGCCAAGGAGAATTGTGTGGATTCTTGCTACGAAGCAGTCATATCTTTCTTTGAGAAAACCTAACATTTAATGTAGTATAAAGAATACTGAATTTAAGAGCTAAATCAGAACACCTGGGTTTAGTATCCCTGTTAACTGGGTTTATTTGGGTAAATCAGTTAACCCCCAGAGACTTATTTTCTTCATATTTAGTATGCTCTGCCCACTTTGTAGGGTTATTTAAGGATTCTAGACAATGTTTAAGGAGCCTGGCCTTTAGAGACAGACTGGTTTAAATCCAGGTCCATACCTAGCTAGCTAGCTGGCTGATCTTGGGCAAACTTCACTTTCTTACCTGTAAAATGGGAGCAATAGTAGTAGCTACTTCATAGAGGTATAAGGAAGATTAAATAATATCTAAGTAAAGCACTCAGTACAGTGCATGGAATATAGTATGTAGTCAGTAAATATTGACTATTATTACTATCAAATGAGATAGTACAGATAAAAACTGTCTCTGATCTAACAAAGCATTTTTAGTTCCAACCAAATAATTTAGAAAAATGTTTAATTGTATCAGAGAAAGATACATTGCTTAAAATTTAACTTTTTTTTTTTTTTTAACAGAGAAAGATTTCTGGTACATTTTGAGTTTGATGTTTGAAAAATTGACATTTACTAATTGTTAAAGTGAAACACATTTGTATTAGGTAAGAAGGTAACTATAAATCAAAAGGGATGTTGTAGTTCAGTGTTTTCTGTTTGGTATTTTAAACTTTTGACACCAAAATAAAAATAACATTAGGAACCTTGCAGTAGTACTTTCTGAGCCCTTTTGTATATTTTCCTCCATAGTGCAGTTCGACAAGAAATGAGTACTTATATTTTATTTTAGATAAACTCATTTCCAATTTTTTAATTGGAAAAATCAATAGTAACATATCTCAAGCACTTCTATATTGAGAAAGACAGTCCAGAATATTTTGATGTTTGATAGCACTATCAGTGGACACTTATTTTGTTTGGGGGTGTGGTATGGTAAAGAGCATGTTTTTTCACAGAAGCTTCTAATCTAAAATACCACTAATCAGTCTAGTCACTTCTAATAGTATCTTCATACCATTGATTGGTTTAATCTTTGTTGTATATTTTATATTTTAAACTTAATTAACACAAATTAGATTTTCTAGGATTTATTTTTTAGAAAACTAGTTATCCCATAAAGTGAGATCCACTCTTATTTCAACTTTGCATTGTAGAAGTAAGCCACAAGTATTATTCCACCAAATTCTAAGCTCCTCTCTCCATTCTTCCATATTTCTAGATAATACATAAATCTTTTCTTTCCTTGAGCCTTATAATTTCCATAATATAAAAATTTTAAGCCCTGGTTGAAAGTTTGTTTATTACAGGCAGTAGCCTATACAACAAAATTATAATAGAGTCAAAAGTTTTAATAAAGACCTTGGTGATCATTGTAATGTATTAAATTAAAAATTTAAGGCTGATTAAAATTTTTAAATTGGATTAATTTTTACTAAAGTTGAAAGATATCATGAAATGACTATCACATTAATAATTCTAATCATGTGATACTTAAAATCATGTAGAATATAGACCATGTGCTTTATTAGGATATTAATCTTGTTAGATTCTTAATCTAGTGACTTGTCAGAGCACAATCAGATGTAGACTCTAAAAGATCTGTTAAGCATTAGAGGTGAATCCTTCTAGTTCTCAGGTTTTGAGTTAATTTAACAGATCATATACTTATTAGCTGAATGTGGAGGTAAGAAAATAAGAAACTCAACTCGAGAGGATGATGAAGTTTGATGGGCAGATCTGTCTTAAATCTTTCTTTGAACAATAAATTAAAACTAGATCTCCTTTTACTGAAAATACCAACACGAAACAATATGTTTGAAATATTGTCAATAAGAACATATCTTTCACAAGAAGAAAATTTAAAAGATTGAACTGTTTTTTTCTGGTAATTAAAAATATATTTATTAAAAACGATCCCTTTCCATCTCCCCCTTCCTTTTGGTTAGGAAACACACACAGTCTTATCACCTTCCCCATGTGAGGAGGGCATTTGAGGGACGCAGACACATCATGAATGCTCTGAATGCATATTGTTTCTTATTTTGTGAATCAAAAGAAAATAATTTTCGCTTTCAACTTTGTGTTTTCTCCCCACTCACAAACCCACACTCCTAAGTGTGAACTGAGAACAAACAGTGAGGCTTAAATATGATTATAAAGACATATTTCATGTTTGTCAGTGAATGTTTGAGATACTTGAAATGTATCTCACTACATATAAGTATTGCTTCTTATGATTAAATATTTACAGAGTTTTAAACATTATTATTCTATTTTTATATGATTTCCATGAAGAACTGAGCCATTAATTAAATAATCCTGATATAGAGAAGTCTGAACTTTAAAGTTAAAAGCCAAACTGATTTAAATGAGACATCTTCTATTTTAAAAGGATGATTTATGTGTATTTAATTTTACGGCTTTTCTAGTAGATGTATATTTGTATTTACAAACATTTGATTTATAGATAAGATTTCAGGTCTAAAAAAAAAATCATTTGTGATTCAGTATAGGAGGCAGTGTGTTGATTTGGAAAGAGTAGGTACTTCAGAGGCAGGAAGTCCTTGGTTTAAATCCTGACAGTTCTGTTTACTAATTCTTTAAACTTGGGCATGTCTGAACCAGTTTCCTGATCTGTAAAGAAGGGGATAATAATAGCTACCAGGCAGGGCTATAGTAAAGAATAAGAGATACTGTTTTTGAAAATGCCCAGCACAGTGCACAGTATATAGTAGGTGCTCAATACCTACTATCCCTCAAAGGTAAAGTTATTTACAAGGCAACAGGAAGCAGGTAAGATTTTGTTCTTAAATAGTTCTTTTTCCTATTAATATGATTTAGCAGGCCTTCACTTATAACTAAAAAAAGAGTTCTTAATTACCAGCAAAGAACTAACAGAATTCAGAAACCAATCTTTCTTTTATTACATTTTGCTGAGTCAGTAAGGAGATTCTTTTTCAGAGCCTAGGAGATGGCCAGAGACTATGGCACCCTTTTGCAATCTCTCCAAAAATAGTTATTTAAAATATTGGAAGATTCTGGAGAATAGGGACATTTAAAATGACCTTACAAGCACAAGACTATTTTGTGAGTAGAAACAACCAGTTGAGAAAATAACCATAAACCATGTAAAATATCAGAGTTGAGAATAGATAATGAACTTACCCATAGGAGATAGGGCTAAAAATAAAACACAAAAGAAAGATCAGTGGGAATTTTCTAACTCAAGGAGAACCCAATTCCCAATGATACCCTTTGTTGGTGAATGCAGGAGTAGGATCTCTAGCGAATATAAAACCCTGTTTCATCCTCCGGGAAGCTGCTGGCCAAACCCCCACATCCTACTCCACAGGGGAGGTTATCTCTCGGAAACCATTAGTGTATGGGATTGAATCCTTGGGTAATGATATTTATTCCACCAAAATTCAAACTATTGCATTTCCCACTTTTCATTGTTCTCTCACAAGTCAGTTTGTTACCCACTTTGCTTCATTTAAGTTTGAAAAATGTGTATTGTTGGTCAGTTATCAAAATCACCATCTAGTCCTATTCTTTGTCAGTCTTAGGGGATTTTCCTTTGTAGTGAAAATTATCTATTGCCAGATTATAGCACAAGGAAAATAGGCTCTTTTTTGATGGACTAGCTGGGAATATATGCTGCCGATAATGTTTGATAGAAAATAACCAGAACCAAATATAAGACCATTATATTTTGTTTCAAACAGAAATTAGAGAAAAGGAAATAAAAATATGAGAAAATCAGTTATTTAAGACATAGTGACTATTCTAAGGCAGAAGAACTTGGAATACAAAAATTTGGGGGAAAACTCAAAGGACCGAGATACAGAAATGGGTAAAGCAATGAAATGAAATGATCCAAACTTACTGATTTTTCCAGAACTGTCCACTGAAAGAGACAAAAAAAAACCAACAGTAGATATTGGGTTTTCCCTTCTTCCCCAACCCTCAAGCCTCTGTACTGGTTGGAATCTGTGTCAAGAACAATTAAGTTCCATTTATTTAAATATGGAGAACCTCCATTTCCCTTCCCTCTTATCTTGGTCTGTTGTGATTAGTTACTTTATTAAAAATTTTTTAAACTGAACTATAATTGACATATAACATAACATAAATTTAAGGTATAACAAATGTTAATTTTTTTATTTTCTTTTTTTATTGAAGTATAATTGATTTACAACACTGTGTTAGTTTTGGGTGTATAGCAAAGTGATTCAGTTATACATATACATGTATATATATTCTTTTTCAGATTCTTTTCCATTATAAGAAGGAATTCCTATAATGTAATTATTATCACAAGATAGTTAATATAGTTCCCTGTGCTATACAGTAGGTCCTTGTTGTTTATCTGTTTTATATATAGTAGTGTGTATATGTTAATCCCAAACTCCTCTAATTTATTCTCCACCCCACCTCTTTCCCCTTTGGTAACCATTTTTTTCTACATCTGTGATTCTATTTCTGGTTTGTAAATATGTTCATTTGGGTCATTTTTTTTTTAGATTCCACATACAGGAGATATCATATGATATTTGTCTTTTCTCTGAGTTACTTCACTTAACACAACATAATTTGATACATTTATGTATTATAATATGTCTGTCATTGTAGTGATAATTAGCACCTCTATCACATAATGATTCTTTTGTTTTAGTGGTTAGAATCCTTATATTTTAGTCTCTCAGCAAGTCTGACAATTATAATATTGTTATCTATATTTACTATATTGTCCATTAAATCTCAAAGGCTTATTGACTACTTGTTGCAAGCTTGTAATCTTAAACATGTCCTATACCTGCACTCCTCTAATTCTCTAGTAACCACCATTTTACTTCTGTTGTTACTAATTTGGCTTTTTCAGATTCCACATATGTATGATACCATGCAGTACTTCCTTTCTGTGTCTGACTTAACCACTTAGCGTAACATGTTCATGGTCCATCTGTGTTGTTGTGAATGGTGAGATGTCCTCCTTTCTTATGGCTGTGAATCATATTTCATTGTATACATAAGTCATCCCTCAGTATCTACGGGAATACTTTATCCTTCCCACCCAAATCCATGGAGCTCAACTTTCTTATATAAAATGGCATAGTATTTGCATATAAACTACAAACATCCTCCTGTATACTTTAAATCATCTCTAGATTGCTTAGAGTACTTAATACAATGTAAGTGCTATGTAAATATTTGCTAGCATGCAACAAATTCAAATTTTGCTTTTTGAAAGTTTCTGGAATTTTTTCCTGAATATTTTCTATCCATGGTTGGTTGAATTCATTGATGCTGAACCCATCGATACAGAGGGATGACTGTATGCCACATCTTCTTTATCCATTCATCTGCTCATGGGCACTTAGGTTGTTTCTGTATCTTGACTATTGTGAATAATGCTACAATAAACATGGGATTACATATATCTCTTTGATACCTTGTCTCATTGTCTTTGGGGTATATACCTGGAAGAGGAATTGCCGGATCATATGGTAGACCTATTTCTAATTTTTTGAGGAATCTCCTTATTGTTTTCCATAGTGGTTGGACCAATTTACACTCCCATCAACAGTCCACAAGGGTTCCCTCTTCTCCACATCCTTGCCAACACTTATTATCTCACATTCTTTATATATATATATATTTAGATATAGTCAGTTTACATCATTTTGTCAATTTCTGGTGTATAGCATAATGCTTCAGTCATACATGAACATATATATATTCATTTTCATGTTCTGTATGAAATATAATTCCTTGTGCTATACAGTATGAACTTGTTGTTTATCTATTTTATATATGTATATGTTACTATCTGCAAATCTTGAACTCCCAATTTATCCCTTCCCACCCTCTTCCCCACTAATAATCATGTTTGTTTTCTATGTCTGTGAGTCTTTTTTTTTTTTAGATTCCATATATAAATGATATCATATAGTAGTTTTCTTTCTCTTTCTGGCTTATTTCACTTAGAATGACAATCTCCAGGTGTATCCATATTGCTGTAAATGGCATTATTTTATTCTTTTTTATGGCTGAGTAGTATTCCATTGTATGAATATACCACAACTTCTTTATCCAGTCATCTGTCAATGGACATTTAGGTTTTTTCCATGTCTTGGCTATTGTATATAGTGCTGCTATGAACACTGGGGTGCATGTATCTTTTTGAATTAAGGTTCCCTCTGGATATATGCCCAGGAATGAGATTGCTGGATCATATGGTAAGTCTATTTTCAGTCTTTTGAGGAATCTCCATACTGTTTTCCATAATGACTGCACCAAACTACATTCCTACCAGCAGTGTAGGAGGGTTCCTTTTCTTCACACCCTCTTCAGCACCTATAGCTTCAGATTAAAATATAAATTTCTTAGTGTGTTATTTCCATAGCCTTTCCAGTGATCTGACCCCAAATATATTTTGCCAGCATTGTTTTCCTGTTTCTCTTCTGTAACTTAATTCTCTAACCAAATGAACAACTTTGTATTTTTTTGGTCCTTGACATGTGGTTTCCTGTTTCTGTGGGCCTTTAATTTACGGGAAAACCCCCCAAAACTCCAAATCCCAAGACTGTTTATAATTAAAGTAATACTTAAAAATGTGGAAGAAAAGAGGTGGAAAATAGTCTGATTTTCAGGGTTCAGACTGGTCAGATGTCAAAAGTATCAGTGCATTAAAGGACCCCAGATGTTACAGATGACCAGAGGAAAGAGAGAAAGACAATTGGAACTTACCAGCTGCTACTGGACCAATTACTAAAAAAGAAAATAAAACAAATTATTATTTAAAAAATTATGTATTCAATTCCCACCCTTGAAAATCCAGTTGGAACATCAGAAAAGGGACTTTTGGGAAACATTGCATCTTGTATGAATGTGCTATCTCTTATTAATTCAATATGAACTCCATTTAAATAACCTAAACATCCAGGCCATTTTGGAAGGCCTGTTTGATAGGTTATATTAGTGAGACTCACTTTTCTAATGAAATAATTTTTAAGATTGTTAACTAGGGCAAAGGTCACAACCTTTCAGGAGACTGGTTACCAGTTCAAGATTACTAATTTAAATTCCCTTTTCCTAATTCCTTTTTTAAAAAAATTTTTATTTTAATGTCTTCTTTATTTTTATTTTTAATTTAATTTTATTTATTTATTTAAAATATTTTACTTATTTATTATTTTATTTTGGTGGGAGTGGGGGAGGTAATTAGGTTTATTCATTTTTAGAGAGGGTACTAGGGATTGAACCCAGGACCTCATGCATGCTAAGCATGCGCTCTACCACCTGAGCTATACCCTCCCCCTATTTTTTTTTAATTGAAATATAGTCAGTTACAATGTTGTGTCAATTTTCAATACTTCAGTCATATAGGATCTTTTCAGTTTTTCTGTCTTTCAGCATTCTCTCTCCCTTTCAAAGCTCTACCACCATCTCAGCACTCATCATATTCCTTTTGTAGTACACAAAGTTTATTTATAATTATCACTTTTAAAGCTTTTGTAATGATAATTTTTCAATGTTTTTTTCTTTTTGATAATTTCTGGAGTTTAATCAGAATTTTAAATCTAGTTTAAGAAATAGCATGTAAAACTTATAACCATGTAAGACAAGCATTCTTTCTTGCACATCTTCAGAGGTATAGGATAGGGCAGAGCCAGGATCAGTTATAATGACAAGTGAGAAATTCCAAGAGCTTCAATTTCCTGATCTTTTATAGTCCTCAATCTTTCATATCTTCAGAGTGGGAAAAATGGAGTTTAGTCTTTCTTCCTTTTCTTCTCAATTTTTTTTGAAGATTTAAAACTCTTCAAGAGCTAGCTATGTTTATTTAAATTTTGCTCCTTTTATTTTTCTTTCTATTTCAGTCTCTAATCTCAGAATGTGTCTGTTTTATTCTTTACCTTCCCTTATGTAATTCTTCTAGGTCCATCACTTTACTGTTCTTTGTCTTACTTAAAAAATATCTGAGCTAAAGTCTTTATTACTTTAGGACATTTGTTCTATTAAAAATAAGGCCATATTATGTCTGTTCTTTTTATTCCTTGCATCAATAGATTTTTCACTTATCATCAATAATTTTGAGAAATGCAGAAAAATTTAACAGTAAAAGAGATGGGGAAACATGCCACTTAGATTTTGCATTAACAGGCATGATTATAGAGAATCAAAGCATGGGACTGGAACCCTGTGGAAGGCCAAAGGACACTAGGATTGACAACCAGACAGTATGTTGATGGGTTTGGAAAAGAACTGTACCTAACCTAACACAAAATTCAAGCTTCTTAAAATTAAGTTACTAATCATATTCTCTATGGTGGAAGAGGAAAAGAATTCCTAAAACCACTCTTCTCCTAAGAAGGAAGCTGCAATGAAACATCATTAATTAACCTCTCTGTTGTTTTTGTCCTGTAATCTAGGGCTGAAGGGCAAAAGTGGAGGCATTAATATACCCACAACTTCATATAAATTGCAGGTAATAGGAGTGCTGGGAGATGGCATGCAGTAATGATTACTGTTCTGGTATAGAAGTTATTGATAGTCAGATACTAGTTTCCAGTTAGTATAATGTATTGATTTCACACAATTATTATAGATAAGCATTATTTATGACTTAAAAACCAACAGTGACTGTAAAGACTATTATTATAATAAGTTAAAGATTTATTCTTTGCTCATAGGTCATTTAGAAAAGAGTTGAAATATGGTTGTTAGATAAAAATGGCTGGCTTTGTATGTGGAGGGAATACAATAAGCTGCTGAGAAATAGGCAGCTGGTGAAATTATACATAATATCTCATCCAAGTCAGTCATACCTCCACCTAGTGTCCTGAACAGAATATGTCTTAATGCTATTGCTTCTAAATATAGTAAAAAGGGACATTTTATCATCTGATTAAAATACGAAGCCTTTTCACAACACTTAGCACTTAGCTAATGTCAACCTGGAAGAAGCTCTTTATGACTGCCAAATAAAGAACTATACTACTACAGGTACTTCGGAATCTTGTGTCAAAACCATAAAAATAGATCTCTCTATGGGTGTTTATTTTGAAAGAATAACTAACATGGTTTCCCTGACTTACAGAGTTAGTAAGGTTATCATCCTATATAAATGGACATGAAAAATTTAAGTTTACTTTAGGAGACATAGGCAAGGATGGGAAAAGTATGTATATATACACATATTTCTTAGGAAATTAGGAAAAAAGAATTTCACATTCATGTGTAATTTTTGAAAAACCGTTTCTCTTGAAAGTCCTCCACTGAAAAGTATGACAAAGTAGACCCTTGAAACATAGTAGGAGAAAGGAATTAGATGTTGCTACATTTGAATTTAGCTCTCACAATTTTTCTGCCTTCTCTGTTTTGGCTGAAAGACCTGATTTCTCTGCTCTCCTTCTCTCTTCATCATCAGATTTCCCTCATGGCTTGATCTGTGTTGATAAAATGTTTAAACTGTCCCCAGCACTTATTTCCCCCTGTCTTTTTTTTCCCCTTCAGTAGGGATTTATGCTCTCCTCTAATTTATAAATAAATAAATCAGTTGTTTCAGTAATGTGGATTAAGGAAATGAGAACATCAGATTTGCAGTAAATAATTAAAGATAATACCAAATAAAGATAATACACATTAAATTTTAAGAGAAATTAAGTCATTTACCCACAGCCACATGTCTGGTAAGTGTTTTAGCTGAGATTTGAACTTAGGTCTGTATGATTCTTTTCTTAATCACTGCAATATATTACCTTTCCATTTTCTTTTACCACTTAAAATCATGCAAATGGTTTTATTCCATATTTAGAATCATTCTTGAGAATATATATATATATATATGTGGAATTATGAGTTTAAAGGGTACTATCATCTGTAGATCTTGCAACATACTGCACATTTGCTTTCTAAAATGGTTATATTAATTTAAATGGAATCAGTGATGTATCAATGTATAATTTTTATCAAAGCATTAGTGATATTTTTATTATATTTAAATTTTTCTCTTCATTGGGTAAAAAGTACTACCTCAGGGTCTTAATTTTCTATCCTTTTTTAAAATTTTACCAGTCATTGGGCACACTATCGACTCTAAATTCACCAGTAATTTAAGGGTACTAGATAATGGGACAGCAAAGGGGGTTGTAAAATGTGAATTCATTTCAGGGAAACTTTTCTAAAAGACATTGGAATTAAAAACAGATGAATAATAACTTACCAATAGATATTGGAGTAACTGGCAGAGCAACATGAAACAAAAATATATTAGCAGAATTTTTGGATCAAGAATATAATTTCCTTCTTTGCTCTTTCCAGGGCAACAGAGAGATATTTGTAAGACATCAAACCTCCCCCAGAAAGATGCCCATAATGGAATAAGAGGAATTAGCATTTCTCTTGTGGTAAAGGAATAGTCCTAGTCTGATACGACTGGTTTCAGTGTATTATGATGGAGTAAAAAGGCAGAGTGGGCTAGTACATATATGCTTACATCATTCTTTTTCTTCTCTAGTATGGAGGATTTAAATTGTGCAGGAACTTTCAAAAAATTTGAATGCTAATTGCAGTTATTCTCTTTCCTTTTCCCACACCTAACATAGTGATTTTTCTCCTCTGTTCCTTATTGGTAACTCCATATTGACTGTATCCCACCCTATGTGTCTTTCCTTTTTGCAGTATGAAAAGTTTTTTGCAGTATGAAAAGTTACTGAAAGCTATTTGAATTTTTTTAGAAAACAAAATGTTTCTTTTATATTTGGCCTCTTAGTCAAATACTCTTTTCACTGAGAAATTGATAACACAGCAGGTTGCCAAGTAAGAAGGAGAAGGAGATTATTTATAAATAGAAGCATTAAATGCAGCTATTCAGAATTGGAAGAAAGTTCTCATTTTGGGATCCCAATTTGTACCAGATTTATAAAAAGAAAAGGAACTTACTGATAGGTACTGCTACATGTGCTAAAATCCAAACAGAAATTATTAGTATGAGTTGACACTGATAACAGAATTGACACTGATAATAGAATTCTTACTGATACTGTTTCCATACAGGAATTTCTGGAATGGAAAGGATGAGCAAGCGCCAAGCCTTTTACACGAGTTACTTTAGTGTCCCTTTTACAGCTACATAGTAGTTTTGACAGGTGGAGAAGGGGTGAGTTATTTTCCTTTTATCAGCCAGTTTTGCTTGGAAATTGAAATACCACAGAGCCGGAAAAGCCTTATTTCCTTTCAATTTTGCTTCCATTTTCATTCTATTCCCTTCTCTCATTGCTCACTCTTTCATGAGTTTCCCCACTTTTCTCTGTCATTTCTCTCTTATAGTTAGTTGAAAATATATTTTCTTGAAAAGTCAGTAGTGCTAATCCCAAGATTTTCATCACATTCTCAATTATTCCTGTTTATCAGTTTCATTTTCCAGGTATTATTCAGTAATCCAGGTGGAAAGAAGTTGGTCTATGTGTATGCAAAGATAAATGACCATGAGCAGTTCTAGCTGTCAGAAATGAAGACAGAGTTCACTTTTTCTGACTCCCTCCTCAGGCAATAATATATGATCTTTATTATATCCATATCATAAGTCTTTTTAAGTATACAAAGATGGTTTGTTTTTAGTGGGACATTTTAACTTACTAGGAAAAAAATCAATCATGTTTATTTTTTTCATCTATCTTTGTAATCTATGCTTTGTATAAAGTCATAAATATTCTAGCAGGATTCTGAAGAGAGGATATGAGAGATATAAATGTCAATCTTTCCCTTGAAATGTAAACAACCATGTTTAGGAAAAAGCCCACAATGGGTACATAACAAATATCAAAAGGAAAGGGAATTTCTTAGAATTGCAGGTGTCATCAATCTAGATATAGAGACCATGGCTCTCTCATTGATACTGTTCAGTGAATGAAGACAGAAATATACTTTACTTCTTAATACTACTAAAACATATTGGTCAGATGCAATAACTCAATTTCTAGAAGAAGTGAGAGAAATAAATTACTTTTTCTTCCAATTTTCCTCAACTTCTGTGGATGAGAAACATGTCAAGAATGTTCAGATTTATATATAAACTCTGGAAGGATAGTATCTTCTATTTTGGTCCTTACTGTATTCCCAGAGCCTGGCACATGGTAGGCCTTCAATAATTATATATTTCTGAGTGAATAAGATCTCAGTGAATTTAACTTTGCTGGTTCAATTTTATTTCTGTCACCTACCTTTAAAATTTCCTACCAAAAGTATTTATAAACTCTAATAATAAAAATATTAGTAGCTAGCTTTTTTCCATAGGTGACAATTTGCAAAAAATGTTCATAAGCATTATTTCTTGTTTCAGGTCATCTTTAACCAGCTGAATATTTGATTTGCTATCTGTGGTTTTTTACTTTCAAAATATTCATCAGTAACTTTAAAGGAATTTATCCAATGTAAAAACAAGAGAAATTGGAAAAGTTGAATGTCAGGGCCTTACATGTTCAGAAAAGGGTGTAATCGATACAGGAACCAACCCTAGAATTAATGAATAGGTGTAGAACTTACCTGGTTCTTCTTGCCTTACTGTGAAAAGGAAATCAAATAATTAAATGAATGGGAGGTTTCTGGGTAAAGAACAGAGTTACTTCTCAAATATTTTATGCTGGAATTTTAGAAACAGGACTTTAAGAGACCACCAAACCCTCTTTTTAGAGTCAGTTAAATATAGTGGGAGGATAAGTATCTTCAGATTATTTTGCTCAGTCCCTTTTAATTTGAGAGCCTTTTTGGAAAGAAAGGCAAGAGTGGAATCATTCAGAAAGGCTATTTTCTTCCTTCTGATTTCTCTCTGCTAATTCAAACTTTCAAAAATCATCAACTGGTAAGATTTTTATATAATTTACCCTTTATTGCCTCTTCTTCTTTTTATTCCTCTCTTTTCCATCACTTCTTTAGAATTATTCTATGGATTTATCATGGTTACCATGATTCTTCTGTGCTAATATTTTTTAGATTAATTTTAGAAAATTTTTATTTTCCCCATAAGCATAAGTATTTTAGGGCCTGTGACCGTATTTCTCATTTGAATGAGATGGAGGCACTGCTTAACTGTATACAAACCTGAATTTGAATCCCAGGTTCTGCTGCTCATAATTATGGAATCATAGGCAAGTTACCTAATCTATTTCC